ACACCCACTCATTAGTACACAACGGGGCAGGTAAACTGACACATTGTACAGTTTATATGTGACCCGAGGCAAGGAACGCCTTAACCCTGAGATGGGGGCTTGTGTCATATAAGCCAGGTACATCTGGCTTAAGCCAGGTGCATCTGTCTTAAGCCAGGTACATCTGACTTAAGCCAGGTGCATCTGGCTTAAGCCAGGTGCATCTGTCTTAAGCCAGGTACATCTGGCTTAAGCCAGGTGCATCTGTCTTAAGCCAGGTACATCTGGCTTAAGCCAGGTACATCTGACTTAAGCCAGGTACATCTGACTTAAGCCAGGTACATCTGGCTTAAGCCAGGTACATCTGACTTAAGCCAGGTACATCTGACTTAAGCCACATGACAACTTTCACTGTTGGAACTTATAAGAGTTGTGCATTGCTCATGTATCCTAATATTGATCAAGATTCAATATTTTCAATTTAATATTCAAAATATTATAAAAGATTCAATATATTATTCGTAATATTATTCAAGCTTCAATATGTTATTCAAAATATTATTCAACATTCAGTAAATTATTTAAGATTCAACATATTAGTAATGATTCAATATATTATTCAAGATTCAATATATTAATAAATAGTTATTATTAAATTATTTTATACATTTCTAACTATTAACCTTTAATTAAAATTTATATAATAACATCGTTATTATAAAAAGATAAGTAATTGTAAAGGTTTGGGGACATGTGGGAAAATATCGAACAATGGTAGCAGTTCCCGTGGCACACTGGTTACACAGTCTCCCTGATTTTCGCGAGCGCTTTGGCCTGGATTCGTATCCTGGCCGGAGAGGATTGACTGGGCGTCATTCTTTAATTGTAACCACCGTTCACCCAGCAGTAAATGGGCATCAGATTGTTAAACGATTTGGCGGATCGTATTCCAGGGAAAATTTAGGATTAAGGACGTGCTCGACACGTTATTCGTACTAATATATGTACAATAATGTTAGACACTCTTGTATAAATAATCTTGGTCAGAAGACTGGTAAATACTTTTTAATGTTAACAAATGCAAGACCTTGCATGTTGGGCATAATAACCCACGCCACAACTACCAAGTTAATAACATTACACTACAACATACTGATGAAGAAAGGAACCTTGGAGTCAAAATCCACCACTCACTGAAAGTTGCACAGCAGGTAGAGGCAGCAGTAAAAGAAACATAACCAGATCTTTGGAATAATCAATCGTACCCATGTCTTTACGTAAAAGAAGGTAGTGATTCAATTGTATAAATCTCTGGTGCGCTGCCGTTTGGATTACTGTATCTAAGCATGGAGACCTCATATCAGAAGGATATAGCTGCTCTGGAGAAAGTGCAACACCCGGCGACAAAAATCTTTCCATAGCTAAGTCAACTCCCGTATCAGAAACGGTTGATGACCACAGGGCTAACAACACTGCAAACAAGGCATGACAGATGTAGCACAAACAACGAGCAACGGTTTCAAGCTCAACAGCCACAATGTAGGACTGCGAACAGGAGAAGATTTTACACCCACAGATTATTAACCCATACAACCGCCTACGCGCCGAAACGGTTAATGCCAAAACTCTGTTAACTTTTAAAGTACAGATGGAAAAGATCATCAATGCAAATAGGGGGACCTAAGACAAGCCGCCGGCTTCCTGTCCTCGTCAAGGTCACAATTGTTAGTGGCTCTCAGGTAAACTCAAGTATACTCAGGTACAAGAAAAAAATAAGGCATTAAGGTGAAGTACGTTCCAGTTTATTTTTATCAGTCAGCCATAAAATATATACGATTTTCCTTAAATTCTATCAAAGAAAACCATAAATCTTCAGGACACTCTTCTCAGAAAAATGCCTATGCTATACATTCACAAATATTTACCCGAGAACCACTAACAGTAATGGCCTCAACATGGACAGGAAGCCAGCGGATTGTCGAAGGTTCCCTCATTTGCCTTGATGATCAGCTGTACTTTAAAAGTTAATAGAGTTTGGGTATTTACCGATTCAGCGGGTAGGTAGTTCCATGGGTTAATAACCCTCTGAGGGTAAAATATCATCACCTGTTCTCAGTCCTTCATTGTGGCTTGTTGAGCTTGAAACCGTTGCTTCTTGTTTGTGTTGCATCTGACCTTTTGAAGACATTTTTCCGGATTAACATCCTGCAAATTGTCCATCATTTTAAAAGTTTCAATAAGATACGCCCTGTCATGCCTTGTTTGCAGTGTTGTTAGCCCTGTGGCCATCAACCGTTTCTGATACGGGAGTTGACTTAGCTATGGAAAGATTTTATCGCCGGGTGTTGCACTTTCTCCAGAGCAGCTATATCCTTCTGATATGAGGTCTCCATGCTTAGATACAGTAATCCAAACGGCGGCGCACCAGAGATTTATACAATTGAATCACTACCTTCTTTTACGTAAAGACATGGGTACGATTGATTATTCCAAAGATCTGGTTATGTTTCTTTTACTGCTGCCTCTACCTGCTGTGCAACTTTCAGTGAGTGGTGGATTTTGACTCCAAGGTTCCTTTCTTCATCAGTATGTTGTAGTGTAATGTTATTAACTTGGTAGTTGTGGCGTGGGTTATTATGCCCAACATGCAAGGTCTTGTATTTGTTAACATTAAATAGAATTTGTCAGTCTTCTGACCATTTGTGGAGTTCATGTAGATCTCTTAGTAAGGTTTCAACATCATTAACATTTCCTACTTTACCATAAATCTTTGTGTCATCTGCAAATTTGATGATGTGGTTTGCAATATTCTCATCTATGTCATTGATGTATAGGACAAAAAAGGGTTGGCCCCAAAATGGACCCTTGTGGCACCCCACTCAGCACATTTCCCCAGTCAGATTCATTCCCTTTTAGCACGACTCTTTGTTTTCTGCTTTAACCATTGTTTTAACCATTCTAGTATTCTTCCATTTAGTCCATGGGCAGTAATTTCCTTGTCAGTCTTTCATGTGGTGCCTTATCAAAAGCTTTAACAAAATCGTGTACACTACATCAACCGGAAGTCCTTGTTTAGAGTACCTGGTTACTGTTTCCAGAAATGTGAGCAGGTTTGAAAAGCAGGTACAAGATAGTTTATTGAAAGATGGTGAATGATTCCCTCCATAAAGATTCTCTCATGTGTGAGATGTGAGATGTCAAGCTGATTGAACGGTACTTCTCCCCTGAACTCTTTCGGTCTTTTTTATTTTAATTGGGGTGATTTTTTATTTTAATTGGGGTGATTTTTTATTTTAATTGGGGTGATTTTTTATTTTAATTGGGGTGATTTTTTATTTTAATTGGGGTGATTTTTTATTTTAATTGGGGTAAATTTGCATATTTTCAATCTAAGGGGACTATTCCTTGGTCCAGAGATTTTGTGAAAAGTTATTTCAGCGGCAGGCATCGTTCTCCTGCCAGTTCCTTACTGACTTTGGTTTACATTCCATCCACAGCTGGGGCTTTGAGTCTTTTTGTTTGTCAATGTTCTTCTTGATTATGTGGCATGTTATGATAATATTCCTACACACATGGTCCTGACCTCCGTGACACATGTGTGTGGTGATGGGAGGTCATCCAACATACATGGTCCTGACCTCCGTGACACATGTGTGTGGTGATGGGAGGTCATCCAACCTCTCTCGTGTCAACACTCACCTAAAATATTCATATAGTGTTTGTTGCCTTTTTGTCGTCTATTATAACATGGTTTGTCTCACCTATAATGGCTCAACCAAGTCCTTGGTGTTGGTTATACTTCTTATATATGCATAGAACGTTATACATTATACCCCGCACTGTATGCTGCTGTATACATTATACCCCGCACTGTATGACACTGTATACATTATACCCCGCACTGTATGCTGCTGTATACATTATACCCCGCACTGTATGCTACTGTATACATTATACCCCGCACTGTATGCTGCTGTATACATTATACCCCGCACTGTATGACACTGTATACATTATACCCCGCACTGTATGCTGCTGTATACATTATACCCCGCACTGTATGCTACTGTATACATTATACCCCGCACTGTATGACACTGTATACATTATACCCCGCACTGTATGCTACTGTATACATTATACCCCGCACTGTATGCTACTGTATACATTATACCCCGCACTGTATGCTACTGTGTACATTATACCCCGCACTGTATGACACTGTATACATTATACCCCGCACTGTATGCTACTGTATACATTATACCCCGCACTGTATGCTACTGTATACATTATACCCCGCACTGTATGACACTGTATACATTATACACAGCACTGTATGCTGCTGTATACATTATACCCCGCACTGTATGCTGCTGTATACATTATACCCCGCACTGTATGCTGCTGTATACATTATACCCCGCACTGTATGACACTGTATACATTATACACAGCACTGTATGCTACTGTATACATTATACCCCGCACTGTATGCTGCTGTATACATTATACCCCGCACTGTATGACACTGTATACATTATACCCCGCACTGTATGCTACTGTATACATTATACCCCGCACTGTATGCTGCTGTATACATTATACCCCGCACTGTATGACACTGTATACATTATACCCCGCACTGTATGCTACTGTATACATTATACCCCGCACTGTATGCTACTGTATACATTATACCCCGCACTGTATGCTACTGTATACATTATACCCCGCACTGTATGACACTGTATACATTATACCCCGCACTGTATGCTACTGTATACATTATACCCCGCACTGTATGCTACTGTATACATTATACCCCGCACTGTATGCTACTGTATACATTATACACAGCACTGTATGACACTGTATACATTATACACAGCACTGTATGCTGCTGTATACATTATACACGGCACTGTATGCTGCTGTATACATTATACACAGCACTGTATGCTGCTGTATACATTATACCCCGCACTGTATGACACTGTATACATTATACCCCGCACTGTATGACACTGTATACATTATACCCCGCACTGTATGCTGCTGTATACATTATACCCCGCACTGTATGCTGCTGTATACATTATACACAGCACTGTATGCTGCTGTATACATTATACACAGCACTGTATGCTGCTGTATACATTATACCAGCACTGTATGCTGCTGTATACATTATACCCCGCACTGTATGCTACTGTATACATTATACCCCGCACTGTATGACACTGTATACATTATACCCCGCACTGTATGCTACTGTATACATTATACCCCGCACTGTATGCTACTGTATACATTATACCCCGCACTGTATGCTACTGTGTACATTATACCCCGCACTGTATGACACTGTATACATTATACCCCGCACTGTATGCTACTGTATACATTATACCCCGCACTGTATGCTACTGTATACATTATACCCCGCACTGTATGACACTGTATACATTATACACAGCACTGTATGCTGCTGTATACATTATACCCCGCACTGTATGCTGCTGTATACATTATACCCCGCACTGTATGCTGCTGTATACATTATACCCCGCACTGTATGCTGCTGTATGACACTGTATACATTATACACAGCACTGTATGCTACTGTATACATTATACCCCGCACTGTATGCTGCTGTATACATTATACCCCGCACTGTATGACACTGTATACATTATACCCCGCACTGTATGCTACTGTATACATTATACCCCGCACTGTATGCTGCTGTATACATTATACCCCGCACTGTATGACACTGTATACATTATACCCCGCACTGTATGCTACTGTATACATTATACCCCGCACTGTATGCTACTGTATACATTATACCCCGCACTGTATGCTACTGTATACATTATACCCCGCACTGTATGACACTGTATACATTATACCCCGCACTGTATGCTACTGTATACATTATACCCCGCACTGTATGCTACTGTATACATTATACCCCGCACTGTATGCTACTGTATACATTATACACAGCACTGTATGACACTGTATACATTATACACAGCACTGTATGCTGCTGTATACATTATACACGGCACTGTATGCTGCTGTATACATTATACACAGCACTGTATGCTGCTGTATACATTATACCCCGCACTGTATGACACTGTATACATTATACCCCGCACTGTATGACACTGTATACATTATACCCCGCACTGTATGCTGCTGTATACATTATACCCCGCACTGTATGCTGCTGTATACATTATACACAGCACTGTATGCTGCTGTATACATTATACACAGCACTGTATGCTGCTGTATACATTATACACAGCACTGTATGCTGCTGTATACATTATACCCCGCACTGTATGCTACTGTATACATTATACTCCGCACTGTATGCTACTGTATACATTATACCCCGCACTGTATGACACTGTATACATTATACCCCGCACTGTATGACACTGTATACATTATACCCCGCGCTGTATGCTGCTGTATACATTATACACAGCACTGTATGCTGCTGTATACATTATACCCCGCGCTGTATGACACTGTATACATTATACCCCGCACTGTATGCTGCTGTATACATTATACCCCGCACTGTATGCTGCTGTATACATTATACACAGCACTGTATGCTGATGTATACATTATACCCCGCACTGTATGCTGCTGTATACATTATACCCCGCACTGTATGACACTGTATACATTATACACAGCACTGTATGCTGCTGTATACATTATACACATCACTGTATGCTGTTGTATACATTATACACAGCACTGTATGCTGCTGTATACATTATACCCCGCACTGTATGCTGCTGTATACATTATACCCCGCACTGTATGCTGCTGTATACATTATACACAGCACTGTATGCTGCTGTATACATTATACACAGCACTGTATGCTGCTGTATACATTATACCCCGCGCTGTATGCTGCTGTATACATTATACCCCGCGCTGTATGCTGCTGTATACATTATACACAGCACTGTATGCTGCTGTATACATTATACACAGCACTGTATGCTGCTGTATACATTATACCCCGCACTGTATGCTGCTGTATACATTATACACAGCACTGTATGCTGCTGTATACATTATACCCCGCACTGTATGCTGCTGTTTACATTATACACAGCACTGTATACTGCTGTATACATTATACACAGCACTGTATGCTGCTGTATACATTATACCCCGCGCTGTATGCTGCTGTATACATTATACCCCGCGCTGTATGCTGCTGTATACATTATATCCCGCACTGTATGCTGCTGTATACATTATACCCCGCACTGTATGCTGCTGTATACATTATATCCCGCACTGTATGCTGCTGTATACATTATACCCCGCACTGTATGACACTGTATACATTATACACAGCACTGTATGCTGCTGTATACATTATACCCCGCACTGTATGCTGCTGTATACATTATACACAGCACTGTATGCTGCTGTATACATTATACACTGTATGCACTGTATACATTATACCCCGCAATGTATGCTGTATACATTATACCCCGCGCTGTATGCTGCTGTATACATTATACCCCGCGCTGTATGCTGATGTATACATTATACCCCGCACTGTATGCTGCTGTATACATTATACCCCGCACTGTATGCTACTGTATACATTATACTCCGCACTGTATGCTACTGTATACATTATACCCCGCACTGTATGACACTGTATACATTATACACAGCACTGTATGCTGCTGTATACATTATACCCCGCACTGTATGCTGCTGTATACATTATACCCCGCACTGTATGCTGCTGTATACATTATACACAGCACTGTATGCTGCTGTATACATTATACCCCGCACTGTATGCTGCTGTATACATTATACCCCGCGCTGTATGACACTGTATACATTATACACAGCACTGTATGCTGATGTATACATTATACCCCGCACTGTATGCTGCTGTATACATTATACCCCGCACTGTATGCTGCTGTATACATTATACCCCGCGCTGTATGCTACTGTATACATTATACCCCGCACTGTATGCTGCTGTATACATTATACCCCGCACTGTATGCTACTGTATACATTATACTCCTCACTGTATGTACTGTAAACATTATATTCAGCACTGTATGCTGCTGTATACATTATACCCAGCACCACGTACCTATGTATACATAATACGTAACACCGTGTGGTCTTGTATACAATTTATACAGGGTATACAATGTATACAGGGTATACAATGTATACAGGAGCTATATATTAATATAGCTAAACCAGCTATATCAATATCGCTGTTTATATCTAAGTGGAGAAGTTAGTCCACCACGAGGCCAGACAATGATTCACACTTCACCTGACACTGACAAGTGTGACACTTGACACACGTGAGCTGTGTGACACTTGGGCCGTGTGTCAGACCCCAGGGTGTGACACTTGGGCAGTGTGTCAGACCCCAGGGTGTGACACTTGGGCAGTGTGTCAGACCCCAGGGTGTGACACTAGAGCAGTGTGTCAGACCCCGGGGTGTGACACTTGGGCAGTGTGTCAGACCCCAGGGTGTGACACTTGGGCAGTGTGTCAGACCCCAGGGTGTGACACTTGAGCAGTGTGTCAGACCCCAGGGTGTGACACTTGAGCAGTGTGTCAGACCCCAGGGTGTGACACTAGAGCAGTGTGTCAGACCCCAGGGTGTGACACTTGAGCAGTGTGTCAGACCCCAGGGTGTGACACTAGAGCAGTGTGTCAGACCCCAGGGTGTGACACTTGGGCAGTGTGTCAGACCCCAGGGTGTGACACTTGGGCAGTGTGTCAGACCCCAGGGTGTGACACTTGAGCAGTGTGTCAGACCCCAGGGTGTGACACTTGAGCAGTGTGTCAGACCCCAGGGTGTGACACTTGGACCGTGTGTCAGACCCCAGGGTGTGACACTTGAGCCGTGTGTCAGACCCCAGGGTGTGACACTTGGACCGTGTGTCAGACCCCAGGGTGTGACACTTGAGCCGTGTGTCAGACCCCAGGGTGTGACACTTGAGCCGTGTGTCAGACCCCAGGGTGTGACACTTGGGCAGTGTGTCAGACCCCAGGGTGTGACACTTGAGCCGTGTGTCAGACCCCAGGGTGTGACACTTGGACCGTGTGTCAGACCCCAGGGTGTGACACTTGAGCCGTGTGTCAGACCCCAGGGTGTGACACTTGGGCAGTGTGTCAGACCCCAGGGTGTGACACTTGAGCCGTGTGTCAGACCCCAGGGTGTGACACTTGAGCAGTGTGTCAGACCCCAGGGTGTGACACTTGAGCCGTGTGTCAGACCCCAGGGTGTGACACTTGAGCCGTGTGTCAGACCCCAGGGTGTGACACTTGGGCAGTGTGTCAGACCCCAGGGTGTGACACTTGAGCAGTGTGTCAGACCCCAGGGTGTGACACTTGGGCAGTGTGTCAGACCCCATGGTGTGACACTTGAGCAGTGTGTCAGACCCCAGGGTGTGACACTTGGGCAGTGTGTCAGACCCCAGGGTGTGACACAGCAGACATGGCAACAGTTGTGCAGCAGGAGGAGCGGCGGCAGACCTGGACGGGCATGTTAGAGAGGGCGGTGTAGCCGTGGGAGGGGCGGACCAGCGTGGTGGAGAAGGTGCTCTTGAAGGAGGGCTCGTCGAAGCACGGGAAGGCGCTCCGGGCGTCTGTGGGCTGGAACTTACTCGTAGCTATGGACCTGGAATGGAAAATAATAATGTTGTCAGTGTCTTATGTCTCAAACTGCCTTCCAGAAGTGTTCATATATGTTGATGCCGTAGACACAAGTCGTGAGGTGGCCCGCACAACAAGAATTATAGTATTAGTGAGCATATTCAAAACTTTATTATAGAAGCAGTCCTACATATACGCGCACGTCCTCTACAAGTTAAGAAAAGGATATACCCTAAATGTTTCATTCCAAAGGCTGTTACAGAATAGTTAATACTGTGTTCTTAAGATAAATGTCGGGTTTGAGTGATTACAGAAAGGCTCCGGGCTTCCTCATGTGTGTCAACATATTCTTCATAATATTTGTAATAATTATACATCTTCCCAGATGACTCAATACAAGTTAATATTCCTGGCGTCTTATTTATTAGCTGGTGAATGGTCAACCGTGAGGGATACTCCCACAGTACTCCTCACATTCTGACATGGAGACTATTATCTCGGCCCAAGCTTATCTGGGCACAAGTTTATCTGGGCTCAAGTTTATCTGGGCCCAAGTTTATCTGGGCCCAAGTTTATCTGGGCTCAAGTTTATCTGGGCCCAAGTTTATCTGGGCCCAAGTTTATCTGGGCTCAAGTTTATCTGGGCCCAAGTTTATCTGGGCCCAAGTTTATCTGGGCCCAAGTTTATCTGGGCCCAAGTTTATCTGGGCCCAAGTTTATCTGGGCTCAAGTTTATCTGGGCCCAAGTTTATCTGGGCTCAAGTTTATCTGGGCCCAAGTTTATCTGGGCCCAAGTTTATCTGGGCTCAAGTTTATCTGGGCCCAAGTTTATCTGGGCCCAAGTTTATCTGGGCCCAAGCTCATCTGGGCCCAAGTTTATCTGGGTCCAAGTTTATCTGGGCCAAAGCTCATCTGGGCCCAAGTTTATCTGGCCCAAGTTTATCTTGGCCCAAGTTTATCTGAGCCCAAGTTTATCTGGGCCCAAGTTTATCTGGGCCCAAGTTTATCTGGGCTCAAGTTTATCTGGGCCCAAGTTTATCTGGGCCCAAGTTTATCTGGGCCCAAGTTTATCTTGGCCCAAGTTTATCTGGGCCCAAGTTTATCTGAGCCCAAGTTTATCTGGGCCCAAGTTTACCTGGGCTCAAGTTTATCTGGGCCCAAGCTTATCTTGGCCCAAGTTTATCTTGGCCCAAGTTTATCTGGGCCCAAGTTTATCTGGGCCCAAGTTTATCTGGGCCCAAGTTTATCTGGGCCCAAATTTATCTGGGCCCAAGTTTATCTGGTTCCAAGTTTATCTGGGCCCAAGTTTATCTTGGCCCAAGTTTATCTTGGCCCAAGTTTATCTTGGCCCAAGTTTATCTTGGCCCAAGTTTATCTGGTTCCAAGTTTATCTGGGCCCAAGTTTATCTGGGCCCAAGTTTATCTGGGCCCAAGTTTATCTAGGCCCAAGCTTATCTGGGCCCAAGTTTATCTGGGCCCAAGTTTATCTGGGCCCAAGTTTATCTGGGCCCAAGTTTATCTTGGCCGAAGTTTATCTGGGCCCAAGTTTATCTGGGCCCAAGTTTATCTGGGCCCAAGTTTATCTGGGCCCAAGTTTATCTGGGCCCAAGTTTATCTGGGCCCAAGTTTATCTGCGCCGTAGGTTTAGACTTCACAATAACGAGGCAAAGTCTCACATTCACAAGGACTTGTGAGTGTCAGGTCCTCCTGGGTGACACACGGGCAGGTCTGTGAGTGTCAGGTCCTCCTGGGTGACACACGGGCAGGTCTGTGTGTGTCAGGTCTTCCTGGGTGACACACGAGCAGGTCTGTGAGTGTCAGGTCCTCCTGGGTGACACACGGGCAGGTCTGTGAGTGTCAGGTCCTCTTGGGTGACACACGGGCAGGTCTGTGAGTGTCAGGTCCTCCTGGGTGACACACGGGCAGGTCTGTGAGTGTCAGGTCCTCCTGGGTGACACACGGGCAGGTCTGTGAGTGTCAGGTCCTCCTGGGTGACACACGGGCAGGTCTGTGAGTGTCAGGTCCTCCTGGGTGACACACGGGCAGGTCTGTGAGTGTCAGGTCCTCCTGGGTGACACACGGGCAGGTCTGTGAGTGTCAGGTCCTCCTGGGTGACACACGGGCAGGTCTGTGAGTGTCAGGTCCTCCTGGGTGACACACGGGCAGGTCTGTGAGTGTCAGGTCCTCCTGGGTGACACACGGGCAGGTCTGTGAGTGTCAGGTCCTCCTGGGTGACACACGGGCAGGTCTGTGAGTGTCAGGTCCTCCTGGGTGACACACGGGCAGGTCTGTGAGTGTCAGGTCCTCCTGGGTGACACACGGGCAGGTCTGTGAGTGTCAGGTCCTCCTGGGTGACACACGGGCAGGTCTGTGAGTGTCAGGTCCTCCTGGGTGACATTTTTATCAATAATATCGCCGGCTCGTCAACAGAAAATTAATGACCCAAAAATATATTAAAAAATTTTTCAGTACCAGAGACTTCATACTGAGGCTGACAGAGCATATGTAACACTGCCCAATAGGTTCAGTAACATACACAACAGCTAATTGAAGGGTTAAGAGTCGGTGTCACAGAACCAGAGCTACACACATTCTACAGTTGTGTGTAGGCGTTCATTGGTGAGCTTGTCTCAGTAGTCCCACACCTGACGTGTGTCACCCAGTAGTCCCACACCTGACGTGTCACCCAGTAGTCCCACACCTGACGTGTCACCCAGTAGTCCCACACCTGACGTGTCACCCAGTAGTCCCACACCTGACGTGTCACCCAGTAGTCCCACACCTGACGTGTGTCACCCAGTAGTCCCACACCTGACGTGTCACCCAGTAGTCCCACACCTGACGTGTGTCACCCAGTAGTCCCACACCAGTCGTGTCACCCAGTAGTCCCACACCAGTCGAGTCACCAAGTAGTCCCACACCAGTCGTGTCACCCAGTAGTCCCACACCTGACGTGTCACCCAGTAGTCCCACACCTGACGTGTGTCACCCAGTAGTCCCACACCTGACGTGTCACCCAGTAGTCCCACACCTGACGTGTCACCCAGTAGTCCCACACCTGACGTGTGTCTCCCAGTAGTCCCACACCTGACGTGTCACCCAGTAGTCCCACACCTGACGTGTGTCACCCAGTAGTCCCACACCTGACGTGTGTCTCCCAGTAGTCCCACACCTGACGTGTCACCCAGTAGTCCCACACCAGTCGTGTCACCCAGTAGTCCCACACCTGACGTGTGTCACCCAGTAGTCCCACACCTGACGTGTCACCAAGTAGTCCCACACCAGTCGTGTCACCCAGTAGTCCCACACCTGACGTGTCACCCAGTAGTCCCACACCTGACGTGTGTCACCCAGTAGTCCCACACCTGACGTGTGTCTCCCAGTAGTCCCACACCTGACGTGTGTCACCCAGTAGTCCCACACCTGACGTGTCACCTAGTAGTCCCACACCTGACGTGTGTCACCCAGTAGTCCCACACCTGACGTGTCACCCAGTAGTCCGACACCAGACGTGTGTCACCCAGTAGTCCCACACCTGACGTGTCACTCATTAGTCCCACACCTGACGTGTGTCACCCAGTAGTCCCACACCTGACGTGTCACCCAGTAGTCCGACACCTGACGTGTGTCACCCAGTAGTCCCACACCAGTCGTGTCACCCAGTAGTCCCACACCTGACGTGTCACCCAGTAGTCCCACACCTGACGTGTCACCCAATAGTCCCACACCTGACGTGTCACCCAATAGTCCCACACCTGACGTGTGTCACCTAGTAGTCCGACACCAGTCGTGTCACCCAGAGAGTTTACTCTCCTCCACCGCCCATATTTTGCTGGTATGGCTGCCTGTCACATTACTGGGGCTCCCAACTTGTTGTGTCTGGTTGATGGCGTTCTGGGAGTTCTTCCACGCCCCAAGAACCCAGGGGCCAGCCTTGACTTGTGAGAGTTTGGTCCACCAGGCTGTTGCTTGGAGCGGCCCGCAGGCCCACATATCCACCACAGCCTGGTTGGTCCGACACTTCGTGAAGAAAACTATCCAGTTTTCCCTTGAAGATGTCATCGGTTTTTCTTGCAATATTTCTTATGTTCGCTGGGAGGATGTCGTTAATACCGCTTCCTTATGCAAATTTCCCCAACACACAATTTTGTTTTAATCTCATATATATAATATGACGATCAATAAATGTTTCACAAAGACTCCTTCACAAAAATTTGGGTGAGTGACGTGTGCCCTTCCACATGTTGTGATGAACTTGTCCATTAATGCTCCTGTCTCAACCTTATCTCAGTTTACACAAAGACACAATCTGCACACACTCTCAAACACAATCACTTCTACTCAATTCACACTTCTCTCAGACACGATCAAACACCAAACACAGCTCACAATCAACAACACAATCTTGCACAATCTCTTGCTCTAGTCACACATACGAAGTGTCACTTGCTCAAGTCACTCTCCATGTTTGTTCACAACTCTCAAGTATGCAAGTTTATCATTGTAAGATCAAAGTATTCGCTTCATACTTACCAATACCAGTAAAATATAGACTTGGTTCTTCAAATGGGACTATATGTACACAAACTTTTAATTTACCGTGCGTGGCCGTGAATGTTTGTGTGTACTCACCTATTTGTGCTTGCGGGATCGAGCATTGACTCTTGGATCCCGCCTTTCTAGCCATCGGTTGTTTACAGTAATGACTCCTGTCCCATTTCCCTCTCATACCCTAATTTTAAATTATAAATAGAGTTTGCTTCCACAACCTGTTCCCCAAGTGCATTCCAATTTGTAACTACTCTCACGCTGAAAGAAAACTTCCTAACATCTCTGTGACTCACCTGAGTTTCCAACTTCCACCCATGTCCCCTTGTTCTGTTACTATTACGTCTGAACATTTCATCTATTTCCACTTCGTTAATACCCCTGAGTATTTTAGATATCCCTATCATATCTCCTCTCTCCCTTCTTTTCTCTAGAGTCGTAAGGTTCAGTTCCTTCAGGCGCTCTTCATATCGCATCCCTCGTAACTCTGGGACAAGTCTCGTCGCAAACCTCTGAACCTTTTCCAGTTTCTTTATGTGTTCCTTATGTACTTACCTAATTGTACTTTCCTAATTGTGCTTGCGGGAGTTGAGCTCTGGCTCTTTAGTCCCGCCTCTCAACCGTCAATCAACAGGTGAACAGGTTCCTGAGCCTATTGGGCTTTATCATATCTGCACTTGAAGCTGAGTATGGAGTCAGCCTCCACCACATCACTTCCTAATGCATTCCATTTGTCTACTACTCTGACACTGAAAAAAATCTTTCTAACGTCTTTATAGCTCATTTGGGCACTCAATTTCTACCTGTGTCCCCTAGTGCGTGTGCCCCTTGTGTTAAAAAGACTCTTTATCTACCCTATCAATTCCTCTGAGAATTTTGTATGTGGGGATCATGTCCCCTCTAACTCTTCTGTCTCCCAGTAACGTGAGGTTTAAT